AATAATGAAGCGCTGGTTCAAAGAAAGCATGTTGCCCCCGCAGGGGTTGGAGATATTTGCGGCAACGGGAGGCTCCCTGCGTAGAACATCCTGATCTGTAGCTCCAATGTAGCATGGGCTGTGCCATGACGAAGGCCTGATGTAGACGCAAGGCTGCTGATGATGTCCCGGATCTTGAATGAAGTCACACAGGTCTGGAAGGCGAGCACGTAGCGATTTGAGGTGCCTCATATCAGCGAAAGTGGAGTGCACATGACTTCACAAAGCAGTGACGTCTTGTAGAAGTGAAGGACTTCAAAGAACGGAGGTATGTACCCATGGTCCTGTGAAATGAGTCGCTGTAAACAGCAAATCAGGACATACGATGTGATCCGGCATCTGTGGATCTCATGTAATATACCTATTGGCCACCGCGTGTCGGGTATGTGACATGGCAGTCGTCGGAATCTGAAGAGCAATGCGAACCAGGGTGAGCACCTCCAAAATGAGGCGCAACTGAGGTAATTGCAGAATCGATTCATACTCATCAGGAGGTGCTGTTGGTAGTGGAAGTCCAGACCGCCAGCATGCTGAGAAAAACGTCGTCATCGAAGATCCCGCTGCGTTGAAGCTCAGTCCACATGATGCATCTCTGGTCAATTGCGGCTACAAGGTGGCAGCGACATGTATGTCCCAGACAAGTGCAGTGACGAACAACTCACAAGTCATGACAAGCACACATGTCAAAGGCATACAAGTTTTCAAGCGCAAATCACGACGCAACAAAGTTGCCACTCCGGGCTCATACTGACAAGGAAAAGCACTTCATCCGGTAAGAAGTCGAGCTACCACAATGAGCAGACACAGCGCCTTGTCCGAGAGCTTGGTGATGTAGCCTGGCTCTAGTCCCCACAAAGAAGCCATTGAAGCAAACGTGGGAGCATCACCTTTTGGCAAACGTTGACGCGCTTGCAGGAGCTGAACTGTTATGGGATCCAGAGACTTGTTGCCGTTGAGACGGGCGGGATGGTTGGCCCACTTGATCAACGACGGCATGGTAGTAGTAGTGGGGGTCTGCTTGAGGTAGACGTGCGGCTGATCACTGGTCCAGGAGTAGTGCTTGATGATGTCTTCAGGCGTGCTGTGCATCGTGAGCAACTTCGATGTTGTCTGCTTGGCAGGCGGGGGCGACATGCCGTGAAGAGATTGGATAATCCGAGGCTGTTGCTGAGGTGGAACATCGAATGACTTGCCGTCGAGAGCTGCCGCACTCACCGTGGGCAGAGAACTGGTGGGAGTCGAAGACTGCGAGTGATTGACCGGAGGTGGTGTGACCAGCTCCGCATCATCTTTATGGGCAGCCATCGTAGAGGGAGGCGACGATCTCTGTGATGCCGAGCGCTGCGCCTGGAGCAGCTCATGCTCACGTTTAAGGTTGTGATACTTCTGCAGTGTCATCTTCCGGAGAGTGGGGCTTGAGGGTCTGATGATGTTGTTGAAGAAACTGAAGCACAAGATTGCCCAAGTGCTCGTGGACCTTGATCCGCTGATTGAAGTCATCAATGTTGAGCCCCATCAAGTTTGCCAAGTCTCTCTCCAAAGTGAACAAGTGCTCCAAAGCAAGGCCTCGGTGCGCGTGCGAAATCCTTCCCACGTCACAAATCGTCCGTGAGCAAACGGCCTCAGTAGCCAGTTGGAAATGCCACCGTGAATGACCTGAACCAGGCGAACATCCCGGATGTCCATGCCCGACATATCGCGTTGCGTATTATGCGGGGTGTTGGCGACAGTCATGGGCAGGGTGAAGAAATAGAGGTGGTTCTTGTCCAACAAGCCTTCGCCAGGTTGCCACTCTTCCGGTGGGGTAAGCCATGTTTTCTGAGGTTGCACTGGCAACGTAGCCGGATAGCCAGGTGCTGCCGCAGGTTCCGGAGGATGTCCTTGTGCGTTGCCAGGAGGCGCCATCATCGTCTTCACGGTCTTAGCCGGCGCAGGCTCCGGAGGGAACGGCATCATGTAGTTGACCGGAGGGTGCTGGTAGAGCTGTGATGACGAAGGATTTTGCAGGTAGTTGGTTTGTGACATTGGAAAGGAATTGGGAGGTTGTAGTTCGGGTTGTGCTGCCAGGTCATCGGGTTGGTCCAGGTGGTGTCACGATCGCGTCTGCGAGCTGTACGAAGAGGAGAAGAGGGGCTTCTATCTCGTCTGCGTCGAGTTCTAGATCTGTCACGATCATCCCGGCGTGACATGACGGTTCAGCAAACTCAAGAGCAGTGCCAACTCAACCTTGAGAAAATCGAATCCGACAAGATGCAAGTCAACGCAAGTGGAAAGCCAAGCACAAATCAACACACGGTCATGCTTGACACTGTCAGCAGTCAACATCATGGGTTGTGAGACTTAGTTATGATTTGACGGTTGTTTTTTCTTTAGTGAAACTTCGTTCTTGTTTAAACGTGACATTCCGCTGAGCTGTGATAAGAACGTTGAGGTCAAATTTTCCGGCGAACCGGCCCGGGGT